ACTCTTAACCGGTGAGGAGCGTATAATCCGTACAGTACTGCACGGAAAAATTGACCATTTTATCCACTACAATTGCATTGCTCAAATGTGCTGTTATTGGTACCATTTACTACTGAAAATATCAACGAGATGTTATTTATATTTGAAGACATATTAAAAGCTTTAACGCTTGTTTTCGACTCGCACTACTATTCATAATTGAACAAAACTTTTGGCAAGTATTGTATAAAAAAGTATGTTTAATGAACAAGAGTCGAGAGTATAATGAGCTTTTTTCTCCCTACCTAGGATTTTGCCAGCGCGCATCCAAGAAATTGGAAGGGGTGCCCCTTCGCTAGAGAAAGTAAATGAAGTATAATACAATTTATAATTTATAATTAATGTTATAAATGCTTCAATAAAATCACAAATTAAACTCCACATTAAAAACATTCAACGATTTTGTTTGTTATTCCCTCTTTGTAACCTAACCATAAAAAGAAAACAAAAAGAGAAAACTTCCACTGATTTCGTTAGTAAACATTTAATACACACACATCGATATTAACTCTAAAGCTCTATAGAAGGTGAAATAAATATTACACGTTCCTATGCTTTTCTTTTTTTCAATATTTGTTTACAAAACGATATATTAATCTAAATGACACATCTAGACATGATAAATACTTTTACTTTATATATTTTTCTTCCAAAATACTGGATGTAAACTAGCACGTACCAGTTCTTACCGTGACCGAGTAAAGATGAGTTGACAAGCAACAATAAAAAAGCACTGTGTTTTAAAACCCGTTTCGAAAATACCTATTTTACACAAATATTTCGAATAAATTTTTCATATTTTGTTTCTTCTATTTTAAACACCTTAAGTTTCTACATTTTTTAGAGCTTCAAACGACTGAGTTATTTATATGGATCGATTCAATCCATCGTCTTTGTTACTCAGGGTTAATATTTCAGAAATGACTTATAATCTCTATAAATATGTCAATTTAATTCATTTCTGTATGAAATACCACATTTTATGACTACGTATCGCAGGATTAGGTAATATTTAAAATATTTTACGTAGTTCTTACGTAACATGTTTTCGTTAAAAAACAGGTCCTCTCAAATGCGGTTCATTTCTATCATTAGGCAAATTTATTTTTATTTCTGTATTTCTTCCGCATCGAAAGTAGTTTAAATGTTTCGATAAGGAAATTTTACGAAACCCAAAAAGATTTTAATAATGGTTTAATTATATAGCAAGACATACTTTTACACAATTAACTTGTTTACCATTGATAAAGTGTTATGATAATGACTATGACACTTAAAAATTATTTTAGAACATTAATATACAAGGTGTCTCACGGTAACTACCCATTAGAATATTTCTAAAACTAGATCGATTTAAATTTTGAAAATTTGGCTAATACCGTTGTTGGGTATGCTCTCCTCAATTAAAATAATAGCATCTATTTAGCACTTCCGGTTACACCGGAAGTTGACATCAATTTTATTATTGTAAATGCAACACCCAGTATATTATGACGGTTTCGAATTCTACATAAGATTTTAGGTTGACTTCTTTTGCTATTTCTAAAATTTATCGTTTTCCAGATATTAAATTTTTTAAAAAAAGTAGCACAGAGCAGTAGTAGCAAAAATGCATGTCCACTTTACAGTAAGAAAGCTGGAGCAACATTATTCTTAAGAAAGATAGTTATATCCTTAAGCTTCCCTTCTATACTTTCAATGTGCATTAATAACATACAGGACGTTGTATGTTTAATGGCGAATTTGGTTAACTTCAAACAATCGTAAGTTCATTTTTCAAACGAAACACCCTGTATGTGTTTTCATACCCATTTGCAGAATTTTATTCACTTTGAATGACACCATGGTTCTCTATATCTATCTCCCCTAATTTTCAAATTATTTACTGTTTTAAATCGTTTAATTTTTGACGCAGATGGCTGTGTATTTAGTAACAGATTAATATAAGTTAATAGTTGTCACTGAAACACCCATAATGACAGTTTAGTCATTAAATATTTTTATCCTTAATGTCAATTTTTTATTAAGAATGAAAACTGAATACACATATTCAAATTAAAAAGAATTTTAAGAAATCAGTTACAATACGGCGAAATGAAATTAATTTTGTTACACTACTCGTTCATAATTAAATCTATGAATTACTGCGAATATTTTCTCAAAATTCATTCGAAAGGCACTGCACCATATTGTATATGTACTTACACAAAATAAAAATACACTCGTTGAATATTGACCAAACGTGAAATCTTATATTATTTTGTAATATAATCTACTTTCACTCACACAAAAGATAAATTTAAATTAACTTTGAAATCGAGACAGCGCTACCTATATGTGAGACGTCAGCAATTCCGAGAAAGTTAGAAGTCACGTAGATGTCAACGGCTTCAGTTAGATGGGTTTAAAAAGCGACGTCTACCAGCATTATTTTAGTAATTTCTAAGTAATTAAGGGAGGGGATTAACGATAAAATATGATAAAAATGGATAACCATACATGAATTGTAATTTATGTAACTCACCCTTCCAACAAAGAACCTTCTGTAGCACTTAGCGGTATCATCAGTTTCTATTTTTGCGCGCCAAGTACCATGGGGCACTATGGGTTGTCCCCGATGGTCCCTTGGACAGTCGTGTTCTGTTCCATCAACCCAATATCCTTTTTCGGGAACAACTATCATGGCATAAGGTCCAGGATGCGATAGAGTTTCCAGAAGCAGTCTTTTGGACGCTGTCGTGGGTTGGGGAGATGAAGGAGGTGTTGAATGAGCCGATGTCGGCATCTTGATGTTGTTATTAGTGGTAAATGCGGAGGAAGAGAGGCGATCATCTTGTCTGTTGTTTTCTTTATCGACTATGTTGGTTTGGACATTGTTTTGGTGATTTTGAGTATCTGACTGCAAATAAAAAAAAGAGCACCATGTAAATTCACTTACTGAATGACATAATAAAAAGAAAATAAAGATAGATTTATTGACAAAAGGTCCTACAGCTTCATTCCTATTTTATATCTACTTGCTCCTTTTTTTTTTTTCAAGGTTCGTATCAATGTTCTTGATTTTGAAATTTTTTAAGTGTGAGTAGAACTCAAGAATTTTGTAGGTCTCGGTTTTGGAAATCGAAAAACTTTCGTAAAACAATTTTTGCTGTCTGCTGTGTGAAAGAAATATCTATTATTTGTGAATTAAATTAAATACCTTATAATAAGGATCCTTAATTTTAGTATTCTTTTATTGCTTTCAATTCGATATTTCTGGATGCTCTTGAAAAGAGTCTTGGGGGCCGCTCAAGTTACATAACGAACTTAGAGAGAGGTCCTACAAATAAATATTATGTGTTTTATACTGCAAAAGCGACGGAAATACATTGTAACAAATAATATTTTAATGATTTTCCGTTATTCTGCGTGGCATAACTACCATTTGTAGGTAAAAATGGTCATTAGCGTATTACATAACATTGGAAAAGGAGAGGAAGGTAAACAAAACGTGGCGGAGCGTTATGAAGGGGAGGTGGAGTCTAAATTCTTCAAAAACTCAATTGCGTATTGCTTGAACGGTCCCTATGGACAATAAGGTGGTCCTGTAAGTGTTCCGTTTTCATTTTCAGGTACGGAACTTTAATTAAGTAAATGCAATGTTTTCTACACAATAGCAAAGTTGAAAGAAACTTCTGTAATATATACCGTGTTTATCCTTGTCTGAAGGGGGCATCTATTAATTACGTGAAGCGTTTAGGGGAAGAGGGGTTCGAGCCGAATCTCACCCAATCTCACGTGGGGGAGAGGGCGGTATTTTTTTTACGCAAGCAACAGTGTAAAAACTGCGATAAATTGAGTTAAATTAATTAAACTGTGTTTCTCCACTATTACTGGAGCTGAAATACACAATCACAAGTAGCACAGTAGTCCATCGATTGTTTATATGTCGATTGAGATGGGTGATGGAGTAAAAATTTACGACATCTCACCAGGGGGGGGGGGAATAAAAAAACTAATATTATACACATAAATGTGAGTTTGTTTGTTTGCTACCAATTCACGCATTTTTTTGTGCATCAGGGATTCAGAAAAGAATATACTGTACCTTTATCCAGAAAAAATACTGTTCCCAAGGGATAGAAAAATTAGTTTGAAACGGTTTGCTTCCGTCTACATTGTCTAGAGAAAGCCACACACTTATGTAATTTTATCGTGCAATAAAAAGATTATATCTACAATATTAAAAGATTCCTCAACCCTTTTTAATCGACCACAGTTTGTTTAATATTTATATTACATATGTTCTAACTAATTAACAGCAAATCACCATTAAAACGGTAGGTATACGTAGTTTGAACAGCGAAAGTTGAAATTGCTCCTTGAAATACGTTCACTCTCTAGTTTCTTATTATTAATTTAATATGTGCATATATAAATTTCTAACAAATTTGCAATTAAATACGTTGTGTATACATGTGCAGGCAATACTTATTACATGCTCCGGTTAAAATATATTCAGATATTATTGAAGTAAACAGCCAACAATTAATTTTTATTAATCAGAAATTTACTAACACTTCGAAATAAAGAATATAAACGTTGACAGGCTATAATAATCTACATATATATGCGCAAATTATTAAATTTATTTTAGAATAACACCCAAACAGACCGAAGATCCTATGAATAATTGCCAAATAAATTATTAATTTACATTGAGCGAGTCTACAACAACAAAACTACAACTTTCACTAATAATTTAATAATTCATGTTTTTTGATATAATAACTATCCATGATGTCAAAAGTTATCAATTACTACGAACAACAATCTTAACACATAGATTTCTTGAAATATATTATTAATCAAAATAACACTAAAAAATGACACAAAAGGATTATTAAAACAAAAAGCAGAGAAGTAAATTTCTTACTCTGGTTCATAATATTTATTTTTTGCTGGCAAGGTATTGGATACATTCGTCTTTTTTTCTAAATGCTTCTTTCAACTACATTCACAAGCTTAAACAAATAAATTCGTTGTATTATATCGTATACGATTTTCATTTTTGAGACAAAATATTACAAATCTGAGTATATATAGACACTGTTACTTTATTAAAATTCCCTTTGAATTGATTGGGTACAAATAGTTTTCTATTTAAAGTTTTACTCAAAATAAACTCACACAGTAATGAATCAAATAAATAACAAACAGTTTAGTTAATAGAAAGTTACATATTTTATAACAAATTACAGTAGAAATACCATTGCTCCATTTTTTGAATCACCCTAAAAGGACAACGAAACTTTCTATAAGATCCCTCACGCGTTCGCCCATCTGTTACAATCGTTTTATGAAAACTGAAGTGATGAGACTTTTATTTTCTCTAACCTTATGTTAAAACAAACAACTGAATTATGTTACAAAATATTTATAAAATAAAATAACGGTCAAACAGACAAACATGTAGTTATTTAAATAGTTTTTTCATCGAGAAAATCGATCTTCGATGATTTCTTTCGTTTGTTTCAAATATGTTTCTTCTCAAAATCAGCTCTCAACACGTATAATTAATAATTACAATATTATTTTTTTTTGTAATCTGACTACAAATTTACTGTTTTCGGATTTCTTCCTTTACTTGTGCTAAGTCATTTTCAATTTCAACTTGATATCTCTACACGTTCCTCAACAGACAGGCAGGCAGGCAGATACTTATTTTTGAATAAATTATATTAGAGCGCCAATTTTTTTGTTGATGGTGAATTTTGCGATGCAATACATTAAAACTCAACAGTAGCACAATTCATCAAAACTCTTCCTTATTATTTTGTTAAAAATGATGGTGCTACGTCACCGGAAATCAAACTGAGTGGATTACCACAATTTCTAATTCTATACTTAGAAATTTCACATTAATTATTTCGCCACACGGATTGTTCTTTTAAGTAGGTACTGTGGATTTTTCAATAAATATTTTGTAGCTTTAACGTAATGCCTACTTGAAGCTTAGCATAGTAATACATCGAAACATAACGTATTATTTAATGTCTATGACAAAAATCCTATAGGTCTTACATTTTCAAAAATTATTTTGCCAATGCAAGAAAGTTATTTGGCGGATATTCATTGTATTAACGTTTAATTTAGTCGAATGGAGACAACTATGTGAACAATGAAAGAGTTTTAAAAAGTGAACAGTAATGAAGTGACATATTTGGAAATAACATTAATCAATTTAAGGATGTTTGGGAGGTACAATCGGAGACAAGAGTACATAAAATTAGTAATTCGTGATTAATTAGGTTTTGCAGCATATCATGAGGTAAATAAATACTATCTAAATTAAAAAAAGTATACGGTTTGAGAAAAAATTTGGAATTTAACCAAAAACTGAATAAAATAAGAAATAACGAGTAATATGGAAAATTTTTAACTGACTTTTGGCAGTGAATATGCCTTGATTTCAACTTCGAAACAAAACAATATTTAGTTTCAATCTCTATTAATAATGAGCGTAAAACTTTTNTCATCATTTTTACATTTCATTTTAATAATCTTGTACAGTTTTGTACTTATTTGGTGTTAAGATTGTAAATTGCGTCCGAATTTTTATTTATGATCTACAAAAACAATTGTGTTTGGTACCTTTTTGCTACCCGTAATTTACCAACAGAACCGCTCAAGTCAAAAAATTTGTATACTTAATGTTTGGAGTTTGTGCTGTTTCACGTTAGGTAGGGCAGACTAGGGTAGAGTAGGACAGGTTAGGTTAAAGTAATAACAGTTTTACCCCCCTCATTTTATATGTATATATACTTGATTGAATTTCACATTATTTTTAATTATCAATCAAAAAAATCTGTCATTCAGATTATACTCAGCTTACGTTATACGCTTGTAGCGCCACCAACTGTAAAAACTGGCAGTGAATCTTTCCATACTCCAGATAATCGATATTGATGATTTATTATTACATGTTTGTAATTGTATGCCCGTTATTATGTAAAAGTCTTTAAAGTCTACCTATAAATTTGAAATAAAACTGATCACCTGTTTAATGATGTTAAAATACAAATATTTTCTTTTGTTGCATGCAATACTCAATAAGTTATATGTAGGTACCTACATTTAAAATTCATAATTTAGCAGGCTTCCCGCCAGACTCGGGACCCTTATTAAGCTTATTACCAACGAACAGCATTCAATTTTTATTTATAGGTGCATATTAAATTTCAATCTCCTGCAGCTGACTTTTGAATAAAATTACTTTTTCGACATCAGTTGGAATACGTATTTTCATGAATGTGAATAAGGGCAAATATCTTTCAAGGCGCAGTAATAAAGAGAATGATTTCTCTGCAGACACATTTGTTATTGGAAGCTTTGCAAGTTGCAAGGACCAGTAGATAGACTAATTTATTTTAGAAACTGCATGCTTACTATGTACATATATGTATGTAGTAGGTACTACGATTGGTATGGTGATTGGAAAATTTTTAACTCGCCTCTCGTTCCCTGTTCGTTTCTTTCACACCATAGTAGAACAGCGCACAATATTTTAACGTCATCGTCATCCAGAAATGGACAAACTTTATAGGAAAACGTTCAGATAATAGAGGGCGATTGCGTTTTTAAGCACGCCGCAGGCGGACAGCCCATTAGAAACAAGGCAACAAATGCAAACCTCGGTATATCTAATTGAATTCTCGAGGGATGGATACGTGAGTTGGAAAATGGGAGATAGGCAAAAATTATTGCAAAAAAACGTCATTATTCGGACTTTTAAGAACCATCAACATTAAAGGTATTTCCGTTTATTAAATTTCCTGCTTTTTTTATTACTAAGGTCAAAAATATATTCCAATTTAAAAAAAATGGTCTAACCTTCACATGATCCTCAAGGTCAAGCTC